AACTCTTAATTAGGAGGTTTCTTAATCAAGAAGAAAAGAGGAGAAACCGTAAGAGAGAAAAATATCAGATTTCGAACCAAGGGTTTCAAAAAAAGGAAGAAAGCTTCCTGCGAATAGAGATTAGATCTCATTCATACTCCAAAGAGAAGAGAAGCAATTCTTCTGTCTTTGTCCTTGGAGTTCTCCTCCAGCCGCCGCCGTCATTGCTTCTCATAAGATTCGATCTTTGTAGAGGAAAGAAGTCAAGAAACCAGTTCTTGACATCAGTCTCGCAGAAAAGACTAAAGAAGATTCGGTGTTCAGAGTTTCCAGAGGATTCTTGCGAAGGATCGAATGTGTAGGACACACTCTGCTGGTTCCGTTCCACCCACAGCTGTGCCATCTTCAGCAGGAGCGGATCTTGGTTTCTTCTTTGGGCGTGAACACCAACTTTGGGAGATACTGCTTCTCCGGATCAGGTATATTCCTCCCTTTTGCTTTTGGTTCAAATCTGGTTCGATTATGGTTCAAGTAAGATCCTTGAATATTGAATTCTAAATTTAGGGAATATGATTCCCAGTTGRAAGAAKGTAGGAAAKTTTTTGAAATTCGCCCACCCATTCCGCAACCTTCTTGGCATCCAATAGATGGATCCTACCATTCTTTCACCTTGAAAGTTTTCGACCCTAAAGATGTAGCCAATTTAGACCTATTCGCCTATGTATAACACAATTTACAATATCATTTCAAAAATCTTAGTTAACAAGATTAAACAAAAACTTAACTCTCTCTCATTTTCCCAAATCAAAATGCCTTTCTTGGAGAGAGGCACTGCACATGACCATAAAATGATTGAAAACTTTAAAAGCAAATAAAAATGTTTTATGAGCATAAAATGGGATATGAACAAAGCTTATGACAAAATTAAATCACCCTTTGTGTAGTAGGTGTAAGTCAATAGGGATAAGGATGGACTTAGAGTCTTAGAGCCAAGGGAGAGGATGCTGAAACTTAGTTTAAAAAGGATTGGACTTCGGGCTCCTAACATAAAGACTAGCTTCACTATTTATAGACATGGAGGAATATAAGATTACATGCATGAAATTGAAGTTTTAGAATATTCTTTAGTTTGCATGAAATATCCCATTTATTTCTCCCTTTGGGACATGTGTCTCTTGGGATCACAAAGCAGTTAGAGAACATTCTTGGGTCTGCTCGGGAGGCAACACGTTTTAGTATGATACTCAGGTGCAACCAGTTGTGGTTTCCCTGAGGTACTAATTACACGTCTAGCATTGTAGGACTAACCTCGCCATACTCTCCTATTTGCCTAGCCCTACAGTCTACATGACAATTCATGGGACTTACAAGATAGTATAGCTTTATGAGGCAGGCCATTTCATTTAGGCGGGGAGGTTTTTGTTTGGTGGCTCCTCGCAAGGCACGACTTAGTTGTTTGGTGAGGTAACTATTACAAGGCAAATTTAGTCCTTTCCTATTTGACTCGGATTGGATGTATATATATCCGAGTTCGATTCGATAATGAAAACTGTAGAGATAGTTGTTAGTGTGTGGTCCTACACTTATATTTTTTGTTTATTTCCTTATATTATTTCATGGAAGTTATGGTAGTTAGGCCATATTTATTTGTTTTGTTTATTTTCTTATATTATTTCATGACAGTTATGGTAGTTAGGCCATATTTATTTGTTTTGTTTTCTTATGAAGTTAGTAGGGGTATTAGAGGAATTCTACCTATTATTTAAGTTACAGGTCTAAATAAGAATTAGTGGGGCAGCCAGACAATCAATCGCACCCTCTCTCTCTCTCTCTCTCTCTCTCTCTCTCTCTCTCTTTTCTTCTTCTCTTCTTCTCTTCTTCTCTTTTCTTCTTCTCTCTTCTCTCTTCTTCTCTTTAGTTCTGTGTTAATCTTTCTTCTCTCTTCTCTCTGAAATCACATCAGAAAACAAACTTTTTTCGTTTCTTTTTAATCAAGTTAGTATTAGAGCAAGGTTAGCTTGATCTGATCGGCTACATGACAACTCCTTAGGACTCGAAGTTCTGCAGAATTGCCTGATTCTTGGAGGTTGCTGGAGTATTGGAGATTGCCCAAGGAATTGAAAGACCCTTGGAGATTGCCCAGTGACCAAGAAGGATCAGAGAAGACATGTGAGTCCAAGACTAAGGTTTAAACAGAAGCAAGATTCAATTTTTATTGAAGCTGAAGGTGGTGATCAATGTTCTTCTGAAAAAGGTACATTCTTTAATGAGATCGACCTTGATTAGGGAAGCAGTTTAAGCCACTCTATGAGCAGTGGTAGATAGAATTATGTCTTCCTTGTTAGTTTCTCTAGGTTTTTCAAACCCTACGATCAGTTTTGGACTCAATGATTTATTTTTCTAACTGTAGATGATTCAGAAGATGATTATTGACTGAGAATGAATTCTTGATGATTGTTCTTGGTGGTTTTTTTTCAATTCTTTACGGTTTTCAACATAGAAAAAAGGTACTTTGGGGGTTTCTTTCTTGAAGTATTGACCTGTTAGTGTTCTATATAAAATGGAGAAGGATAGAAATCAGATGAAGACCAAGAGGAAGGATTTTTAGGGATTGGAAGCATGAATGAAAATTCTTTTCAGGTTACCACTGTTAGGTTTGATGGAACCAATTGCTTGGAATAGATCCAATCAGTAGTGATGGCCATTAGAGGTAGAGGTAAATTAGGCTATGTGACTAGGGATACAAAGAAGCCAGCCAAAGATGATACATCATATCCCAAATGGGGTTCAAGAGAACTATTTGGTGATGACTTAGCTATGCAACTCCTTAATGTTGTTAGGACTTATGAGCTGAAATGTGAAGTGAATAATTTCAAAAAAGGGGAGAAGCCAGTCTCAGTTTACTTTGCTACTCTAAAATCCTTATGACATGAAATTAACCACTTGGAGATAATCAAGTGGGAAAATCAGAGGGTTGCAACAACACATAGAAAGCTGATTGAAGCAAAACAAATAAATATGGCCTAACTACCATAACTGCCATGAAATAACACAAGGAAATAAACAAAAAATAAAGTGTGGGACTACATACTAACAACTATCTCTACAAAAACCTCCCTTCTAAATTCTATCCAAACTATAATTGGATGCATAAGAAATAAATCTGAATTCGAGTTCAATCGGATGTATTGGATTTCGGATTCCACATGAATTCAATATAATTAAACAAAAAAAAAAAATGAGAAGAGAAACAACTAAACCAGAACCAAACACCTGAAACACAAAACAGAAAAAAATCCAAAACCTAGAGAAAACAAAGAAGAGAGATTGTAACAGATGATTGTTGTCTTCTAAAATGATAAAGTGAATGGGAAAAAACATTCCTCCCTCTCTTTGATGGCTACGACGGAAAATGGCAAGATGATTATGAAAAGAATAACTACTAGGGATTTTTATTCTTGTTCCATTGGGAGTATTGAAATTGTGTAGATGTTAAGCCGAAGAATCCTCACCTAGTTAAACAGGTGATTTTGGAAGGAAAGACAACAATCTTTAAAATATGAAGAAGAGAACTGGAGAAAATGGAATTCTCTAGGTAATCTTTCAAGTTGCAATCGATGATTTATTAGATCCTAGGTTCCTAGTGTTAGCCGGTTCGGTTGTCTTGCCATTTAGTGTTTAAAATGAGTAATTAGAATAGGTCCTAGGATTGAGAGTTGTAGGTTGTCTTATTGAATTGGGTAAATTGTTTATACTATATGTATTATTTATAATAATAATAACTGGAGTCAGATTTTTATCGGGTCAAATGCATCTCCATCCAAATTTGATATGATTTTTAATCGGATTCTATTCATTCCATTTGAATCCAATCCAATAATGTATATAGTTCATCTGACTTTGAGATAATAGAATCATATATTGGGTTGGACCACAGAGTTTCAAGTACCATTAATAGACCTAGGCAGATTATTGTAGACTGACAAGATGACTTGTGGATTTCGTCGAGCACTTTCTCATGACGCAACCCCTAAGTCTGATCTAGTGCTGCCTCACAAAGTCACAAGGCGACTCATGAATCTGATTTGATGATGCCTCGTGAGGCAACTTGTGAGCCTAATCTAGTGCTGCCTGGCAGTTCGCAAGTCTCTCTCTTCTTGTATTGCCTCGTGAGTGATTCCCTAACTTCTTTATAGGACTAAACCAGCCTTATGTCGGTGATATTGTGGAATATTCTTTCATCAATCTTGCCATCTATGAGGATTTACTTCTTTTCCCTGAAATGCATTATTACTGTCTTATAATAGGTGTTGGAGAGAATGGGGTTTGGACAAAGGTGGGTTTAAATCGATTATGAAGTGTATTACTTCTGTGTCCTATCAGGTTCGGGTGAATGGTATTCCTAGCTACAAGGGGTCTTAGGCAAGGAGATCCTATCTCCCCTACATCTTTCTCTTGTGCTTTGTTTAGAAGTCTTCACTTGAAAAAAAAAACAAAAGTGGAAAAGCTCAGAAGCCATCAATTTATCTGGGGCTCCCTCCTTCAATTGGAAAATCCAAATGTAGACTCTTTAACATTTTAGCTGAGAGGGTTCAAAGAAAATCAAATAGTTGAAAGGAACAACTTCTTTCTCAAGCTGGCCTATGAAAATCAAATGATTGTAGCCAGTTAGTGAACCGCATTCTTAACCCTCTTGCTGGCTACCCTATGGATTTATTCTTTTGTGTGTAGGACATTGCTCATCTTTGCAGAAGCCTAGGCGTTTCTTTCAGTAAATTAGTATTAGTCCTAACAAAGCTGCTCATTTCACCGTGCAGAAAGGGCTTCTCAGTTCTGGAACCCTTTTTTGAAGTCGTCATTTTAGTCCAGTGTTTTCTGGGTCTTCTTGTAATGTTGGTAGTTGTAGACTTGTAGTTGCAGTTGTAGTAATCACTGTTTTTCCCTGTCTCTTTCTTGTTGCTTGTTCTTGTTGTCGTTGTATCTTTGCTGTTTGAGTGAATCTACTTTTCTACAAAAACCAATTGAGTTTCTATTTCCTATTATAAATGATGCCAAATGTGGAGAATCATACATAAATAAGGGTACTCGAGAGTCTAGAAAACAATAAATAGATGTGCAAAGTAAAGAACCATCCAGTTAAGCTAATTCTCAGAGAGCTCACTCTCGGGGGAAAAGAAAGAGAAAAAGGCAGGGGAATTGCGTTGGCAATGGCATTGTTCCTTCTCCCCCTACTTTTCTGCCTGCCAAAACGGCCACTTATGTCAACTTGAACATTTCCTCAAATATGTTTTCATCTTGGTTTGCATTATCTGGAGGAAGCATAGGTCCTAAGTTTCTTGAGAATCCTCCTCTCTGTCACACGCAATGTCAGGGAATGGTACAACTTCCTTTCTCTCATGCAACATGTCCTTAGTGCCTCCATGTCATCTTCTAATGAGTTCTGCCCATAGAAACTTTCCCGAATATCGACAAGTGAATGAAGTGCATCACATACATTTTTTGTTAACAACAAATCCTTGTCAATCTCTGTAGTCCCTAGTGGAACTTCGGCATTATTTTTGTGCAGTAATAGAATGTTCATGGATTCATTGATGTTCTCCACAGATGATACTCTGTTATTCAACTTATCATATACTACCTCAGGCAAGCAAATGATGTAGAGAAGAATCACAAGCTCTAGCTGTGGTTCTCCATCTGAAGAAATCTCAAAATATTCACAACTATGACTGATACACCCAGAAAAACCTAATCTCCTCCAAAACAACAGCCTTGCTCTGGTATATCGAGCAGAGAATAACGATGAGCTCCATTTAGTTACCAGGTTTAGCTCAATGTTAACAATGTCAAAAGGGTTATCTGGCTCCGTAAATCCATATCTGTGAAGTAATGCTGCATTACCCATGGAGCCATAGGTGTTAAAAACCTGAAAGAAAAAAAGGAATCATCATGTGAAAAACTCTAACTTTAGTTGTAAGGCTTTCTTGTAAAGGGACTGATTCCATAGAAGCAAAAGCTGCAGACAAAAAAAAGGTGCAAAAGGAAGTATAAGTCTAGCACCCTACTCCTTCAGCCTACACCAGTTGTGCTCATTAAATCATGCAAAGTTTCAAATCATGTAGAAGAAAGTCATTGTTAGAAGCAAAGGCTCCCTAAAAGTCATTCCAGCAAAAGGGTAAAACTAATTAACAAGTGAAAAGAATAGAAGCATTACATGAAAAGAAATTGGCATGATAAACAGGTATCGTGTGCTCAAGGCACTTCTTGTGTCTGTTTGTGTATGAGCAATGCAGACTACGACCACCTAGAGACAATAGGCTTAAGCATGGGAATTCTACACATGACAAAATCCCTCTCAGTTCTAAATTTCTTTTTATTGAAGAAAATGGCCATATGGAGCATTCTACACGCTGCCAATWCGGAGTGTCTTCCATGACATGATTTCTGCGGATTACCCACATCATCAGTCCATTAGATACCCAGACCAGCAAGAAACACTAAAGCTCCATTTGGTTAGACAATGGCTGAACTGATGAAAGCCATAAAACACAAGAAAGATCTTATTATGGTTAAGAAAGGTGTTCTTTGAAAGCAACAGCATAGTAGAAGCTGAAGCCCAAAAAAGCAGTCAAAATATGAAGTTCAGTTGAAGCATTTTTTTCCCTCAATTTCTGGCTTTGAACAATCATTCTAAGCTTTATTTTCATCTTTGGAAGTCTAAAAGATCTTTCCAGTTTTCTTGGGCTTTGAAAGATCCTTTAGAAAGTCTAACCAAAGACCACCTAAGCCTGCTATGTTACAAGACCCTAATCAAGATGCTTTCAATTGGATACTGTAATCACTTCAAGCTTCTGATAAGAAAGTCATTCCGGTGTTCAAGAACTTGCATTGATGGAAAGCCCATACTAATAGCACACAGGAACAGGGTGGGTTCCCTAGAATTAATTTTGAGACCAAGAAAACCAGAAAGTGTACCCAAGGGTTGTTAGACAGTTTTGTATGCCCTTAGCTTCAATCAGAATGATGTACTTTATGAGTTTATTGTAAATGAATAAAGATACATATTTGATTCATGTTCCCTT